GAAGGAAGATGGGGCAATCTACTTCCGTAGTGATACTGCCTCGGAAACCCAAGGAGGGGTCGCTTTGAGTCGGGTCCGACTCGACGGCACATAACAACAACATTAACGGGTTGAGGACACTTCCTTCTCTGCCTAGTTGACTGAGTTTTTGTCATGATGTGTATTGACTTCAGTGGAGGGCTTTTTCTGTGTCTTTCAAGATGATCATGTTGTGCCTCTTCTTCGGTCTGCTGATTCGGTGAACTGAACTCATTGATTTCCATGTGCTGACGCAGGAGCCTTGCATCCCTGGGATAAACCTAACTCTGCCGTGAAGCCTTGAGCTGTTTCTGCTCATGTGGCGGATTCAGTCTGCTACGACTGTTAATGTCTGCAGCCGTGTTCATGAGAGGTCTTGGTCTGTAGCTGTCCTGTTTGTTTTCGTCCCAGTGTGGACCCAAACAAGGCGCATCAGAAGGGCTCCTGCTGGTGCAAGAATGAGGAGTTCCTGAAGGGTGCTGAGGAAGAGGACGAGGAAGATGAGGATGACGAGGAAGACGAGGAGGAGGAAGAAGAGGATGAAGAAGAAGAGGAGGAGGAGGAGGAAGAAGAGGAGGAGGAGGAAGAAGAGGAGGAGGAGGGAGAAGAGGAGGAGCAGGAGGGAGAAGAGGAGAATAAAATGGAGTGTGTCCACTCCTCAGACGCCGTGTCGCCAGACCTCATGGAATTCGAACGGTGAGCCGCTGGGTGGGTGTCAGCCCGTGGGGCAGGGAGAGAGGTAGAGGTCCTTTGTCAGACAAGCTGCGACCCCAGGCACTCGGACCTGGCCCTGCAATCTGGAGGCTCCAGAATTCCCAGGCAGAAGTCCCCTGGGGGTGGGGTTGGAAGACAGGCTAGAGGAATAGTGTGGAAGCCACATTTGCACAGCACGGACACTTCTTACTTAGACTGGGTATTTATTTGGGGCACCTTTGTGGGGGGAGGTCCCTGGTTGGTTCAAACAGCGTGTGACTATGGACCTAAGTGCTGGGTTCCAACCCACCCCACAGCACTACGGAACAAGGGCCTGAAGTCTTTCTCCATAAAGGCTGCAGACAGGAGAACCCTCTGGTGCAGCTCTACTCTGTAATCGTGGGGTCACCATGAGCCAGAATGGACTCAGTGGCAGTGGGTTTGGCTTTTTCTTTGGGGGAGGCGTTGAGGAGGTTAGGAGAGCTAAAGACCACCCCTGTCCCTGCCCCAAGGCTGATTTCCATGGCATTTCCTGGCCTTGTAAGAAAGATGGTGCATGGCCTCAGACTTCGCACCCTGGCCCTCCCTGCTCAGGCCCCTTGGGGGCCACACTGGCTTCTGGAGGCTTTGGCCCCATAGAAAGAGACCCATGTCACATTGGGCCTGACTTAACACGCTGCCCTCAAGTCGATTCCAACTCATATTGACCCTATAGGATGCAGTAGAACTGCCCTAGAGGGTTTCCTAAAGGGTGATCTTTACAGAAGGAACCCTGGTGGTGCAATGGTTAAGCACTCGACTGCTAACTGAAAGGTTGGAGCTTTGCACCCACCTAGCTGTACTGAGGCCAAAAGGATCTGGCAATCTGCTTCAAAAGATTGAAAAACAAATAAATCAAGCACATTGCCAGGGAGTCCGTTCCAGCTCCCAGGGAGCCTGCAGAGCCGGGGAGGGTCTGCTAAGCCGTGACCTTGGCAGGCGCAGAGGGGCAAGTCTCTCCCCTAGAGCAGCTGGTGGGTCCCAGTCCTGCAGTCAGCAGTCAA